TAGAGCTAGGCTGTACTTCGGGGAATGAGAATTTTATTTTCATGAATTGGGTAATACCCAGGCATTGCTGCGGAGCTCGCCAGACCCTCTAGACCCTTCTCTTCCTCCTTCACACCTTCTTCCTATTACAATAGTTATTGTTTTCAAATTCACTAGGACGCCAACGTTCTGAAAACAAAGGCGCAGCAGGCATCCCTTTCCTCTCCGCTGAGGGCTGAACCACTGACGCTTGCCCAGCACTCGGCCCCGACGGCCTGCAGGGGGCGCGCGCCGCTCCCTCAGCTCAGTCGGGCTACCCCAAGAACGGGAGCGGCATGGAGGGCAGCAGGGAGTGCGGAGGGCTCGAGGCTCGCAGATAAGGAGAGGAGCATCCTGGGATTTGGGTCCTCTGTGCTACAACTCAACCGTGCTATTGTTGGCACTGTCCGACCCAAGTGTCGGTTGTAAGCGGTGACATCGGGGCTGAGCCTTTAGCGACCGCGGTGCCCTGGGCCAGGAGGGTCACCCCAGTTACCGGAATCCCTCTCCGGATGCATCCAAGGTGATAGGGGCTGCACCCGCTGACGGGATAGCCGCATACCCTCTGAACAGGTAGTGGAATTTGTCTCTGGCAGGCGTCCTAGCTGCGCTGACACCAAGGTCGGCACACAATAGCCATCAGGCCCCCTCAAGCCCCAGAAGCAGGTTTCCCCTGCCCCAGCCATACTAGCGGCTCCAGTCGTCCCCACGAGCCCACTTCTTCTTGTCCCCAAGCGCCACCTCCTCTCCTTACCCGGGTTTGTGGCCGTTACACGGAAGGAACTATGGTCCCATACCCTCGAGGGGACAGACACTGGCCGAGAGACAGGCACCACGCAGAGCCTTCTGGTGACTGTCTGCAAGAGCAAGGCCTTTTGGTTTCGCAATCGGCTGGTTGTGTGTGTGTGTGTGTGTGTGTGTGTGTGAGGGTCCTCAGCCCACTTCCGGGACGAACTGCCACTTTTCGGCCTGGCGGGCTCTGGGACTCCTTGGTCTCAGCAGGTAGCCATCACAGGCCTTCGGAACAGGCAAGAGGCGCTTCCCTCAGGCAGCTACCCTCGCCCCCGGCTCCGAGGCTGACACGGTTGGTCGCGCCCTGTCGGCCCTTTGTTCGCGCCGCAGCCAGCTGGGAGCAGCTGCGTGGCTCCAGAACCCGAGACGCGAAGCCGAAGCGCGAGAAAACCGCTGCGCTTGACGCCTTCTTCCCCCCTACCCCCTCCCAGATCTTGGGCCCAGAAACCCTTCCAGCTCCTGCGTCCCACACGCCCAGTCCTGGCTTCTCTCCCCGCCCAGGACTCTTCCGGGATTTAAGGGCGCTGCCTAAGGAGCCCGCACTCCTGCCTGACTCCCATGGCCCAGAAAAGCGGGGGACAGTTGAAATGTCACCCCTGGGATAAATATTAACAAAAAAGCAAATGGACTTGTGCGGGGGTCAGTTATCAATCAACCAGGCCGCAAGGCCACTCAGGGCAAACACAGCCCAGGTTGGGCTGGACGAGACTTTCTCATGGTCGCTTCCCGACCGAACTCCTCCCCGCCCCCGCCCCCCGCCGGGCTCAGGTCCTTCTTCAGGTCTTTCTGGGGCAAACACCGGACAGGAGGAAGGGGGCGCAGTCTGGGTGCTGGAGGCCCCGCCGACTCCTTCCTCCTTCGTGTGGTTTGGAGGTTTCCTCGCCTCCAAGTCTAGCAGGGTAGGAGTGCCCAACACCCACCCCCGCCCGAACCTCGGGCTTGCACACCGCCTTCTCTTGGGTCCGCGGTGCTGTGCTTGCTGGTGGGTGTGTGTCGCAGTCTCTTTCCGAGCCAGCAGCCCCCGCCGTGGCTGAAGCCCTCTGGAATCTTTAATTGGAAACTAATCTTGCATCTTGATAGGCGCCCACGTCAGAGGCGGGCCACCCACCTACCCGCCCGCCTCATCCGGGAGGAGACGCGGTGAGAACCTTGTCGCTCTGCCCTTTAATAGGGCTGCATCAAGTAGTACATGGAGGGAACATATATTGATTTTTAAAAGGTAGTTAATTTGGTGAGAATTTCCTCCTGTCGCCGGTCTTCCACCAGCCACTATTATTTCGTGACCAGAAGGCGCCTGCCCAAACACAGTGCCATGTGCAGAGGGTTTTGACCCTCTGCAACAGGCTGCCGGGACCTAGAGGACAGAGGGGCGTGGAGAAGCCACCACTCTCCCGCTGCATAGTGAAGGAACGGAACTCAGTGAGCTCTGACCTCGAAAAGCGTTTGGAACGAAACTGGGGGAGGGTCTCTGAGCGCAACAGCAAGGAATGCTACCAGGGGCACTTCCCCATATGGGAGCTGGTAGTGGGGGCAGGCACTAATATCCCGTACAACCAGCAACGGCCAAGTGCTCTTCAATCCGTTTCAAGGCCCTTGCACTCGGCCCGCTAGAGATCACTTGGAAAGTTCAGAAAACCACCCACTCTTTCTAAAATATGAAAATGTTAATGAGATGGCTCATTCTTCAATAACTTAAAAATAGGTTGTGAAGGGACTGCTCCTGGTTCCTTGCAGGAGGCCCTCCTCGACCAGCACATCACCCTGAATCCTAGCCCTCTCCAACATCCCTTTTAAGTTAAGGAAACAAAAATGTAATAGACATGCTTCCTTAGGGTCTCAGGACACAGGTCTGCTTGGTGTTAGGTGCGAAATGGAGACTCCCTGCTGGAGTCTCCAATGTTTCATTTTTTTCGAGGGAAAGGCTGTTGATCTGGGGCTGAGGGCTGCACGGCTCTCCTTCGTACCCAGGCAGGCGCTCCTTCGATAGCCCCCTGGGTGCCATAAGCATCTGCCAAGCACCAGGTTTGCTCCTCTAGCATGTAAGACCCAGCACTCAGGCTCCCTCCCCCTCCACAGTGCTGTCCCCTGAGCTCAGCTCTGTAGCTTTCCACGCTTAGAGGTCAGAGGGCGCTCCCGTGGCCAGGTTTCCAAGGCTCAGAGGTCGCCTCTGAACGTAACGTGTCAGTCTGTCCTTCCAGGGGGCGACAGCAGATGGGGGAAGCGGGGGAGGCGGGACAAGGATGTCCAGAGCAAGAGCCTCCAGGGGGTGGGGGTGGGGGTGGGGATGGGGGCCGAGTTTTCCCGGAGGGGTACCCTTCTCTATTTCTAACTTCTTCCCACATTCCCCTGCCCCACTCGTTGGCTTCTGCAGGCACTGCCTGGGTTAGAGGCCCTGAAGTGCGGCTCTGGGGTGGTGTGGGTGTGTGAAAACGCACTGCCTTGGGCTACGGAGAGGCGGAGCAGTCAGGGAGTGGGAGCAGCCCCTTCGTCCACTCCCTCCAGAACCTCAACTGCTCTCGGGGTCTCGGTTAGCCCACGGGTTGAGATATGGTGCTGGCAGCACCAGGGCTAGAGAGTGGAAACTCAGGAGCCAGCAACTGGCGGAGGCACCCAGCCAGCCTCTTTTCCCCAGACTGGCTCCCGGGCGCAGGCTGCAGGAACCAGCCTGAGGACTTTGCCTAGGGCGAATGAAGGCAGGGCTGGGCTGGAAAACCTGGCAGGGCAGTCTCAGCCAGCGTAGCGCTTTGGGACCGGAGGCCTGGAGCGCCGAAACCCAAAGAAAGCTTTGGGTCGCTTCGGGGCACGAATGGCAGGCTGGTCGGCACCTGCCACCCCCTAGCTTCTCATTGGCAGGCACGAGTTGGAGGAGGGGGCCTTGGCCTCATGCTTTGATTTTAGACTGTGAAACGGCTCAGTGCCCCCGGCTCAGAGCGGATTGACTGTCTCTTGTTCTCCAGGGACGAATTAATGGAGAACGATCAGTTAATTAACAAACCCTCATTCCGGCTTTTACCTTTTCTCTGCGCCAAGGCTCAGGCCTGGGCGCCGGGCTGAGGTGGAGGTGGAGGGGGGTTAGGGGATGGACCCAGGTGTCAATCAACTTGGCAACTGCGTCCCGGATCTCAGCAAACCCAGGCTACCCTCCGCTGTCCTTAGCACTACCTCCCCTTCTGTTCTCTATCCTCAAGGGTCTCCGAATCCTCCTGAAATCCCCGGTGGGGTTCGGTCTGGGCTCAGCCGCCTTCCTGGCCTATCCTCAGTCTCCTGGAGCCAGGCGCCGTATCTGCGCTGCGCCAAGGAGACCTTCCCGCTGAACTCAGAAATACCTGGGGCTTGAGGTTTTGGGCAGGAGACCTCTGCTTGTCGTTTACACACTCCCATCCCCAAACACCCCGCCCCGAACGGGGATTCAGATGAAAATTGCGAAGAGTAATAATAAAATGAAATGCAAAGTCCTAAGGGAGTGGGCAGCAAAGGCGGTCCCAGGACTTGGCTATCGCTTTGCAGCTCTCACTGGGACCTTGGGACGGTCAGCCTCCCTCTCCTTTCCACAGCCGATTCCATGCGAAGAGAGAGTGCTAACCCTTACACCTCGTCTGTACCACACACCCGTCGCTCAGTGGCTTTGGAACTTTTTGCCCACACTCTTAGATTGCCGTCACCCCAGCCAGCGTCAAAAGAATGAGCGCGGGAGAGGGTCACGGCAGCCAGTTCAGCCAAACATCGATGCAGCTCCGGCACGCTCCAGCCCAGTGCCGGGGATGTGTCAGAGGTACCTTCGGGGAACATCTGCATGGAGTTCTACGCATGCATTGCCTCCCTCTTCCCAAACCCGGAGCGCTAAACTGAGAAGCGGCGCAGTGTCTCGCCAGATGCGGGGATTTCTCTCCGCCTCAGGCGGTGCGAGCGCTTCCCTCGCTGTTCCTGAACACAACTGCACCTCTTCAGTCGCCGAGGCCCTACCGCTTAGCTCTCAGAGCCTTCCACAGCCCAACACACTGAGCCTTGGAATAGGCAGTTTTCTCCCGCAGCCTCGTGCTGGCCTCTCCAGGCACAGGGAGTCCCCATTCTGGGGGTAGGGAGCAGCCGGGATGAAATGCACCCAGCCCTCTTTCCTACCCTCCCCTCTTTGGTCCCTTCGGCTTTCGGGTCCCTAATCTCCCTCGCGCCCCGCACCTTGGCCGGCTCACCTGCTAAGCGGAGCGCTGACATGCGCTGGAACTCCGGCTCCTGCAGCCACTTCCACATTCTCCGGAAGGTCTCCCGGCCGGATTTGAGTTTGCTCCAGGGTTTGGGGTTGCGCAGCAGGTCCGACAGGGTCCCCTGGGAGCGGCAGAGCACCCTCTGCGCGAAGATGGCCTGCGGGATGCTGTAGCGCTTGAGCTCAGTGGTGATACGCTGCGCCACCTCTTTGGTATTGATCTCTTCCATCTGCCCTGAATTACTTCCATTGCTGACCTGCGCGCCGGTCACCGAAGGGTTGGGCTCCCGGGCTGTGCCCAGGAGCTGCCCGTGGCCCTGGGCGTTCAGGTGGGCGTGGGGATGGTGCGGAGGAAGGCCGTTGATGGGCACCATGCCGGCCGAGGTGGGCGTGAGGTGCTGCTCCCCGTGGCGGCCGAGCATGGCCGGGTGGTGGGCTTCGAAGCCGTTGGGGGTGAGCATCTTGTCGGTGGGCATGGTGGCGCCCGGGTGGGCATAGTGGGGGAGCCCTTGCTGGGAGTTGTGGATGCTGCCCAGACCGGAGCTGGAGAGGGGCGAGAGACTCTGGCCCATGCCGGCCACGTCCTTGTGGTAGGGGGTATAGAGGTTATTCATGGAGGCCAGCCCGCGCTCATCCCGCATGAGCGTGAAGCTACCGCTCACATTGCCCGCCAGGCGCTGGTGGTGGTGCGGGTGGTGGTGGTGATGGTGGTGGTGGTGATGGTGGGGGAACTTGTCCGAGACTGTGGAGATGGGCGGCAGCGGCTGCAGAGGGGTCAAGGTGGTGTAGGTGGTGGGCATGCTCATACCTGGGGGAGTCTCGCAGGCCATGGTCATGGTGGGGTGCAGGGGACCGGCCAGGCTGTGCTCAGGGGCCCGGTGGTGGTGGTGGTAATCGCCGCCGCCGCTGCCGCCGTCCAGCAGGGACGCCATGCCCATGGAGCGCGGGTGCGCGGGGGGCAGGTGGCTGCCGCGGTGCGCCACGGAGCTGCGCGCGTGGGGGCTGCCGCCCAGCAGGTCGGCAGGGGCGGGCACCGGCTCATGGCTCACCCCGTGCAGCTCGCCGATCGCCTCCATGGTCAGCTGCGCGTTCATCGTGATCCGGGCGAGCGGGCGGCGGACACAACATCGATGTGGCCAGGCAGAGGCGGCGAGGGGCGCACGGAGTCCGGTCTTCACATCGGCTGCTGGCGACTGTTGCCTTCCTTCTTCTCACTGTGGGGCTCTGTCTCTCTCTCCGTGTGTGTGTGTGTGTGTGTGTGTGTGTGTGCGCGCGCGCGCGCGTGTGTGTGTCTGTCTCGCCTTCCCTCTTACCCCTCACCTTCCCCTCTGCGTCCTCGGCTTTTTTTTTTTTTTTAAATATTAATTTCCAAAAAGGATCCGTCCCTTTGGGAGAGCGCAGTGCCCCAGCCCGCCCGCCCTGGCCACCTCTCGCCCCTCTCTTAAAATTGTGAGGCCCCCGGCTCCCCCGCCGCGGCCCGCGCGCCTGCCGAGGCTGCTGCCTGCCCGCGCCGCTCACCAGCTCGAGCCATGGCTCGGTTACTGTTGCAGACTCTGGCCGCGGCTCGGTAGCCACCGCCGCCGCTGCCGCCGCCGCCGCGGCCCGCCCTCACGCCCGCCGGGCGCAGCGCGCATGCGCGCGGCCCGGCCCCGCCCCCTCGATCCCCGCGCGCCCGGCCCTGGACGTCCCGGTACAAACGAAGGAGGGGGCCTAGCACCTTCCCAGCGGCGCCGGATGGCCGGGGAGCTGCGGGCACGTGCGAAAGATTGGCTCAGAGCGCGACTCGGGGCCGCCGCTGCAATCCCGGGAGACTCGCGCCTGGCTCGCCTCCCTGCTAGGGTGGGCCCTCTCCTCCCAGGCCCGGGACGCTCGACTCGGGCTCATAGCGGCTGGCGCGCTATGCTTAGAGACATCGCCCCTCTTCCTCCGGTTGCTGCTTCCCCGTGCAGGTTGCCCGGGGAGCTGGGGACTGTGTCAGCACCCCTTTGGCTCTGGCCCACTAGGATTTAATTTCCTGTGGGGCTGCTGGGAGTGCGCTTTCCCACCCTTGAATGCTCGGCCTATTGCGGTGGGAGCTGGGCTGGGGTGGGGTGGGTTCAAATTGCTTCAAGGGCTGGGTCCGCTTGGCGGCCGTAGACCCGGCACCCTTCGTCCTCCCGGATACGTATCTGCTCAGCCTTTCTCATCCATGCCCTGTGCAATGGCGCACTCAGTGCCAAGAGTCCTAGTTTGGGCCATACCTCACTGTCCCCCGCCGCCTGGCTCCTTCTCCCGCTCAGCTCATAATTAAAGCTGTGCGTCCGCTTCGCCAATGACTCGGCCTGTGGAGGCAGGCGAGGGAGAGCGGAGGGAGTGCCCTGGTGGGTACTTGTGTTAACTTCCGGGTGCTGGTGAGGCCGCGGAGGCTCGGGCGGTTCCTGCGGTTGCTCCCAAGGCCCTCCTGCTAAAGCACCCAGGGGCGGTTGCTTTCCAGGAGTACTGACGCAGGCAGGGTGGACGCCGGCGCGCGGGCCTCTGCTTGGCCCATAGGGACTCCCTTTTCCCGGCGTCCCCGAGAGAAGCCTCCAGATTTGAAAATCAATTCAGCTTCGGGAGTAATTTCGCTCTTCCCGGAGTCGTGCTTCAATCCGGAATCGAACCTGGTTTTTGGGCCTGGTGGGGACGCGTGCGGAGGCCCCCAGTTTGAGACGTACACCCGGCAGCCACATGCCGCGGCTTTCTTTCATTTACAAAAGAAAGAAAAAGAAAATCCGCAACAAAAGGCAGAGCCGTGTCTGCTTAGGTGCTTTCATCCTTTGGAGAAAGGACAGATGTGCCCATTGTCCAGCCCGTGGCAGTTATGGCCGGGTCAGCGCCGAGCCTCAGCCCCAGGCAAGCGGTGGTCACAATGAGAATGGCCTCTTAGAGCCCGGGGTATCTGGACTCAGATATGGAATAAAGTGTGTGTGGCATGTGCTGGGTCAAACTCAGACTGCAGGTTTGCTTGCTGGGGCAGGAACTGCCCACCAGTGGTGTTTCCACTGCAAATACTCCCAAGGCCTCAGAGACGTCAAGGCTGTGGTAGAGGTGGGAGTTAGGCTTCCAAGGCAAAAGTTTGGGCTGGACAACCCTTGGGGGAAAAGTCCCCACTGGCTGAGGCATGAGTAGGCCTATCTCTTTTTCCAGGTCCCTGCTACCACCAGGGCAACATCCTGATCCAGCTATGTCAAGTTCAGTGGGTACAGTCAATGTGATTTCCTTGAAAGTGGCCATGTCCTGAGACTGGATACTCTGGCTGGTTTTATCACCAGAGACACTCCCATCCTGTCCAAACACTGCATATGGAGGCTCTGCAAATAATTCATCTCAATGGATTTCATGCCTACTTGCATAATGAACATTTAGGAATTTAGGAACCTCCACAGAAGAAATGGCATTTGAGGGAAAATACACGTATGTAAAGGAACTCAGAAAACACAATTACTCTTTAAACTTATATCTATATCTACCTATTCACACATGTACACACAGAAACACAGACATGTATTTCCTGCCTAGTAGATTACAATATGTTGGTGGAAAGCTGCATCTTTGGTTTTTTCTTTCTGTTCTCATTTCCTATAGCATAGAGCATGGGGCTTTCATAAGAGACCAAACAATGGGTTAAAGTAGCAGGCAGTCTTCCAGCTAAATGGTTGTCCTCTCACCCCCCAACATTTTAATCCCACTGAAATGATTGATTTGCCCTTATGACAACTCTCTTCCCAAAAGGCAGTTTGTTAAAAGAAAGAAAGAAGTAGATATCACCTAGTACACAAATTGTTCATGTTTTTTTCTTTGTGTAGCTAATTAGGAACCTGATCTTGGAAACCCTCCTTCATGTGAGGCTCTCAGCTGAGCCTCTGGAGTCCACCTGAAGAAGTCTGGCGTCATGTGAGCCCAACTTCCCCCTTTGCCCAAGGGAATTTATGAAAAGGGGGCCTGGCTCTGTGTTGGTCCCTAAAGAAGGACCCAAAGAAAATATCTGAACAAGCATGGGCTTGCTCAGTAATTTTTGATTTTTTTTCTAAAACCTTAAAAAAAAACCTTATGTGCAGGATTTGCTTGGGTTTGCAAATCTCCCTAATCTTTCTTGGCTATTCACACCGTTTATCTAACCATTGTTCTCCCCTAATTGACTGAGTTGCAGTGGTTTCTCATACTACTGTATTCTTATTTGACCTCTCAAAATTTTTCTTCTAACTAAGGAAGTGATGGGTAGGAAGAATGCTCTTCTTAGGCCTAGTTAAGGTGAATCTGCCTGTGTAGAGGGAGGAGGGGCACTAGAGAGATTGTCAACTGCTGGAAGGCTGGGACTGCTTTTTGTCATTTTATCCCTCTCCTTCTTTCCCCCTTCCAGTGCTCAGAACAAAGCCTGGCACCCATTAGGTGCACTATGGGGACTGAAGGAATTAGAGTCCACTGAGGAGTCCCTGGAAATTTGGTAGGTGTAGGTCAATGTGTGTGATTGAGGGGGAGGACTTATTTTTAGCTGCTTAGATTTTGAGTAGCTGCAGGAAATTTAAAGAAAAAAAATAGTGTCAATCACTAGCAAAAAATTACATACCTGTATATATGTAAGAAAAAAGGAAATAAGACTATGACTGGTTGCTTGTTGCTGACAGTATTTTCAGTGTGAAAACAAGGAATTGAGGATGTTTATTTTGTAAATGTCAGGAGAAGAACCTGCGATGTGGGGTGAGCAGGTGCTGTCCTTCTTACACTGGTTAGGCTAGAGCTTACCAGGCAACCCTACCAGGTTCAGCAAAGAAAAAGGGTAATGAGAATAAAACCATTCCTCCAAATGCTGGCCACATGAGCTTCTCTGAAAATCTTACATAGGTTTCAGAATTAATGCTTTAGTTCTTTTTGTGAGTAGTAGAGATGTAACACATGGTTCAGTCCCAGTTCTCAGGACCATTCCAAAGAAATGTTTCTAGCTCCTCCGAACCGTGAAATGTCTACTTCCTATTTATTGGACTCACAAGGAGCGAGATCCTGGATGTCAGGGCAAATTCCTCCACCCAGGGATCCAGGGTGAGGCTGCCTCCTTGGCTAGAGCCCCAGAACATAACTTACTAGCATTTCTGATGCCAGTAGCTAGTCTAAAATTAAACTCTTGGGGAGGAATAATTTCTTTGGTGTCTGGCTACAGTAGAGCACTAGCTAACAGAAGAGTGAAGGATTCGGTCCTGGGTGCTTTCTGTCAAACTCTCCTGTTTCACCTCTGGATAAATTTTATTCGGAAAAGTGCTGTTGGCTTACAGTAGAACACCAAGAAATTCAGAATGAGGTGGCCTGGTGATTCACTATTGAAAACCATTTAAAAAAATCCCTCAATGACGTCTCTCCACTCTCTGGGGACCACGGAAGCGGTAACTAATTATGCTAGCCCCTTACTTTAATCTTTCATACTCTTTTGGCGTATAATTTTATTCATACGTTTGGTAACATTTTTCCTTCTCAAATTACAATTTTTGCCCTAGAAAATATTTTTAATTGGGCACTTTTCTCTGTTTTATCTACTTCTTTCCCTTCCATATTCCTAAGAGAAGATGCTCCATCGAAGGGCTGTCAGCTCGTGCTATCCGCAACTGACTCCAGGTTCTGGGAGTTGCCGAGGGCTGCCTGGGCAGCCATCCAAGGACATCAGACCACTCCGTTCATATCTCTGGTTAGTTCATGGGCAGATTAAAAAACAAAACAAAAACAAACAAACAAAAACAAACAAACAAAAAAACCAAAAACGCTTGCTCTCCTGGGTCCTTGGGTAAACTAGAGGCGGCACCTCTTGGGTTGGAATCTGTTTTGGTGGTCTCCTACTTCCTCGAGGACTTTCTCAAGGCTTCAAGCCAAGATCGCTGTAGGGAGAAAGGGCATTGATGCCTTAGGGCTGAGGGAGGGGATCCAGGCTCCTGGACTGCTTCCCCGAAGCAGGACCCCGAGCTGGCTGCGGCCAGCCCAATTCTGGGGGAGTCGGCCTCCTCTCACCAACAGTTCAGTGGGTTTTCTTTCTTGATCATAACTTCATGTCGTTGAAATAGTCTACAAAGGACACCAGCTCAGGCCGCGAGGGCTGAATTATCCAGATTTGGGATGGCAGTTAATGCTCCTCTTTTTGTGCCTCCCCCCCCCCCCGCCGGCCTCTGCGTTCCCTTAGCTGCGCGCTGGGTTAGACAGTGCCACGTTTAGGGGCTGGAGAGG